CTCATCATCGTTTCATGCCTCCTTCAGGTGAGTTTGCCTTAGCTTCACTACCAAAATGTCATTCGTGAATAGTCTTCTGGAACACCCCCGAAGGATTCACTAGCCCGACTTTCACAAAGGGGATTTGTTTGCACTGGAATAGTCTTCTAATGCGTTTTCAATTTCTGCTTAAGATTACAAATTCTCAGGACAGATGTAAGCCAATTTCTGGATAACTAGTTGCTGTAAGAGGCTTCCGAGAAACCCCAAAACCCCAACGAAAAGCAGGACGCTCCCAGACTGCAGACTTCACACCCCGTGTGGCGTCACCTGCATGTCATGATGACCGTCAGCCCTAACCTTCCTACGCTCTGTGCTTGCTGTCGCTGAACCAAACACAGGCCAGCCTCACGATCGCGGAGCCCGCCCCCCACCGTGTGCCGTGGACCTTGGGGGAGAGGGATGCCTCCCAGGGCCGGCGTGTGCTGTTGTCGGTCCCCGCCCCGCATGCACTGCCAGCCACTTCCCTCGCGCTTGCTGAAGGAGGTGCTGCAGGGCCCACACCCCTGTCCCCGCGGGCAGAGGAGGGAGAGCGACCGTCGGTCAGCAAGAACACTCGGGACCCCGTGACACCACCAGCCAGGAGCGCCACACCCAGCCACAGCGCACGTGGAGCCCTCGCTGAGGCAGACTACAGTGCCGTCAAACTTTAAAAATTGAAATCATACAAAGTATGTTTTGATCATGAGTAGGTTTTAGTATTTGAGTATTTGAAAGTAAGTATTAAACACAGAAAACCTTTGACAAAAATTAACGTATTGGAAATATGTGTCTCTACACAAAGAGATCGTATCTACAATATCACCATAGATGTAGGGACAAGGTCGTACTTCAGCGCCGTCGAGAAACAAATCTCAGAAGGTAAAATCCCAGATTACTCAAGGCACGTGTTCTCATAGTGAAATCTTAACAAAAGAGATCTACTCAGCAGTATCCCAAAGCTGATAAAAACAGTTGTATCACACCTATGAAACGCCAGCGTGACAGCATCCTCCAGAGTGTAACATCTTTTCTTCTAGCTTTGTTTACAATGTTACAAACGTAGTGTGCAGATACTTAAAACAGTGTCAGTGTATGAGAGGGCACATAAATGCACGCAGAGAGCGCAGTGTTCAGTGTAGAGTCCCGCGAGCACACACAGAGCTCCCTCGCCCCCAACAGCAAATAAGGTCACGGTTGGGCGTCCGACTTCAGCTCAGGTCATGGTCTCATGGTTCGTGAGTTCGAGCCCCGCCTTGGGCTCTGTGCCGACCTGTGCAGAGCCTGCTTGGGATTCTCTATCTGCCCCTCCCCCTACTAGTGTTCTCTATCTCAAAATAAATAAAGTTTAAAAAAAAAATTAAAAAATTTTTAAAGTTTATATTAAAAAAAGAAAAAAGAAGGTTGTTATATACCCTGAGATGCACTGGGTCAGATTACCCTAAGTGAGTGCACTTGGTGATCCTGCTGGACTTGCACAGCCGCGGCCGGGCTCTCTCTGTGTCCCCGGGACAGGCGCCCCGCGCTCCTCGTAGGGGATGCGATGTGTGTATTTCTGCTGGCTCCCCGGCCAGCGGGCGCGCCCCCGCCTGCCCCACACCAAGTGCTCCGGCCCGAGCGACTGTCCTCACCAGACTCACCTCTGCAATTGGGACTTATTCTGAACATGGGGCACATTAAGGAACTAACTCCTCGAAGGTAAAGCTAAGCACATTTTTCTGTCCAAGTAGCAAAGAATCATCACGAGCCCCTGAAGCCGCTGCGCCCCTCCCTACCTCACCCCTGCTCCCAGGCTTAAACGTGACCACAAGTGCCATAGGGCAGAGGACCGAGCAGAAATACGGAGCAGAGAGGAGGCAGCAGGGAGAAGGGAACAGGGGCCGGGGAGCCAAGCCCAGAGGGGCTGGAGAGACAGGAGAGAGGGGCGTCTAGAGTCACCTCCTTGCCTTTGGACCTGAGCTGGCTGGTGACCACCAGCTAGGTGCACAGGTCGACTTTTCAGAAGATCTCTTCTGCCCCAGTCGGCCAGAGTGAAGAAACGCAAACATTTCCAGACCCCTCCAAACAGCTTCATCAAACTGCCCGGCCCGCTGCGAGCCTTCTCCTACAGCCTTATCTGCTCTGCAGTTTTGTCCTGGGAGCGTCTGGGGGCCGGGCCACCGCGGTGGCGTCCTGAGCTCTGGGCAACGGGGCGGCCTGTCCACACGGGGAGCTGAGCGTGGATGAGACAAAGTGGCCGGCGGGGGCCGCGTCCAGGAAGTAGCCGGTTTGCTCACGACATCAGCGAACTCTGCTGCTCGGACAGCTCGCTGTGCTTCCTGTTCTGCTAGAAGCTTCCACCAAAGGCTGCCCCGTGGCCCTAAACATTTGAGTGCTTGATAACGAAAAACTTTCACCAATGAGATCTACCCTGGAAGGCACACGGATCTTCACAAGCAGGGGGCAGTGTGGCCCGATGGCGGGGGCGGGGCGGTGACAACCGGTTCTGTATGCGCCACTGGGGCCCGGGGCCAGGTCTGTCCTCCACGTCGGGGCCACAGCAGCGTTCTGCAACCGGAGGCCCCGTGGACGGGTCGTGCTGCTGCTGGCTGTCCTGTCCGGCGCATCTGTCCTGGAGCTGCAGCCACAGGGCCGGGCCGTGAGCACCGGGTGACATGAGCCATCACAGGAAACACGCCGTGTGACCCCACCTTTACGAGGTGTCCGGGGTCACCCGCTTCACAGAGACAGGAAGTGGGAATGTGGGCGTCAGGGACTGCAGGGGGCGGGGGTGCTCAGTGGGGACAGGGCTCCAGTGTGGGAGACGGAACGTTCCGGAGACGGAACGTTCTGGAGACGGGTGGTGGGGACGGCTGCACAACAGTGTGGGTGTGCTTCCTGCCCCTGAGCTGTGCACTTGAAACCGGTAAAGAAAAAAATTTGAATTCTTCTATGACATGATCACATATTTTTTAAAAAGTCATTTCTGCAGCGCTTGTTCCAATTCCAAAAGCTCTCAAAGTAGCCAATTTAAAAGATTTTATTTTACCTTTACAACAACAGGTAATTTCTAGAAGCAGGGGTGCCTAACCTCTGCCCGTGGCCGACCGTGGGGTCTGCCCCACAGCTCTGCCGTCCCCCCAGCCCGCTCCCTGCCTCCCACATCAGTGTGTCACCGTCCCCAGGGCAGCGTCCTCGCGCTCAGTGACACCCCCCCCCCCCCACGCATCTCTGTTCTCTGCCACCACGCGGCCCTCCCGTCCAGGCGGCCAAACCATCCACAGCTCCCGTGTGTCTTCCTCGCTGCGCCTCTGTGGACGGGCGCTGATCCCGGAAGGCACCCCCAGCCTCCCGGGGGACCTGGCTCACACACCGGCCAGCGGCTTGCTGGTCAACGCCAGGGCTGAGCTGAGCGCCCGACCGGCCTCACGGCACCCAACCCGCAAAGCAAACTCCGGAAGCGGTGTGCCCACAGCCAGAGCGGAGGGTTCTGGAGCCGCACCCCTACCTCACAGCATCCTGACACCACGTGAACTGCGGAAACAGCATTAGAAACATCGTTCTAGAGAAAATAAGAACGCTTCCATGGAGAGAGGTAGGAAAGTACACGAGGGTTCTCGTCAGTCTGGCTTTATAACCAACCGCAGGATACACTCTAAGCACAAGCATCACGAGCCGGCACACGTGGCCCAGGAAACAAACGAGGCACAAAGGCACCACTGCCAAAACCCAGTTCACGTCTGGCAGAGTCTGGAGCAGCCCCAGTCCCACCGCCTGCCGGGGGCCGTCGGCACCAGCCTCAGGGAGCAGCTCCGGAAGTCCCCCAGCGCTGGAGGCTCGTCCCCAGGTGGCTGGCCTCCTGCCGTGGTCTCAGGATGCTCTGTGTCACCCGTGCCAATCACAGCACAAGACAGCCGGCCAGGCTCCGGCTTCGATGCTCACGCTGTCATCAGAAGCGCAGGCTGCTGTGATGACAGAGCGGTGGCCGGGCGGGGAGCCCATGCCTGTCTAGACGACAGCCCCTGGGAGACGCCTCCGTTAGAGCAGACCTGCCGTGGCCTGGGTGCCTGTTGCGGAAGGGTCCAACTCCCCAGACCGCGGGTATGACAGGGGAGCGGTAGTCGGCCGCGGGTTTGCTCGGTGGGTGCGCTGACCGACGTAGAGCTGGGCGCCAGTGCCTGGGCCCCCCGCCCCGGCCGGCCCAGGTAGTGCCACTCTGTGTGCTCGTGCGGCCTTCCAGACAACGTGTTCATCGTGTCTGTTGCTGCAGCGAACCCACGGGCCGAAGTGATCAGGATGGTGTTAAACCAACGCCCTCTCAGTAAGAACGAGCAGGTTCTGATTATCACTGAAACAGGGCGCCCTGGCCCCAGCCCGCAGAAGCCACCTGTCCACACCTGATGAACTGAAGAGGACAAAAGGCCAGTCTGCTTCCTGCGGGTGAGCCGGGGCACCCCTGTTAGCACCGGGGGGGGGGGGGGGGGGGCGTCGCACGCCCAGGTCCTGGGGCCCCTGGGTGTGCGGCTACAAGACAGACCGTTCAAGGGGAACGCGTGCTGACACATTTCATACGGACTCCCAGGGACCTCTGCCTACGGCCACGTCCACATCTGTAACAAAGAACAACACTTCACAGCTTGGATCTACCAGCCGATGGAGTACAAATTCCAGAAAACTCCACATTAGCTTCTGAACTTGCCAAAAAGGACAAAAAACTCTCATCGTTGGTTTTGTGACGGTCGATCGTTTGCTGAAGATGGACGCACCGGGCGAGGCTTTAGAAGCAGCGTCCGCGCAAGAACCGTCACTATCCACCAACAAGTGTGAGGGTAAAACGTCAAAAATACTGATGTTGGGGCGCCTGGGGCTTCGGTCAGTTGAGCGATGACTTCGGCTCGGGTCGTGATCTCGTAGTTCGCGAGTTCGAGCCCCACGTTGGGTTCTGTGCTGACGGCTCGGAGCCTGAAACCTGCTTCAGACTCTGTGTCTCCCTCTCTCTCTGCCCCTCCCCCACTCACACTTGCGCTGTCTCTCAAAAATAAACAAACAATACAAAAAAAAAAAACAAAAACACAAAACCTGATGTCAACACCGAGTCTGGTGCTTAGAAAAGCAGTCAGAGTGAAACACGAGAGCATCGCAAACGTTTTGGAAGCAAATAAAGCTCCAGTTTTTCGCACATGGTCATCCAAGATCTGAAAAGACAGGGCGGAGGGTCTGACGGCAGAGACGAGCCTTTTCTCGCACACAGACAACTTGGCGATTCGTGAATAGCAGAAGAAAAGTCCACAGCAAGTGAGGGATCTGGGTTTTATAACCCCCCCACCCATGGCCCCTGCGGCCCCCGGCCGAGTCCCGGGTTGAACACAAACCGCTGCGGAGGGTCTCCCGACAGCGGGGAAGCTGCACAAAGCTGCCAGGCGCTGAGAGCCCTGTTGTTGTGCAAGGAAAACACCCTGTTGGGAGCCGTGCGTATGGTGCTCAGGACTGAGCCTCTGTGACAGGACTCTGGAAAGAGGTGAGACACAGAGATACAAGGAGAGGCGGGTCGACAGGCAGGATGTGGATGCCTGATAGATGATGGACAGATGGATTACTTGTATCTAAGGGGGGGGGGGGGAGAAACAGAAAGAGAGAGAGAGAGAGAGAGAGAGAGAGAGAGAGAGAGAATGAACCCTGACACGGGGCTCGATCCCATGACCCTGGGATTGTGACCTGAGCCGAAATCAAGAGTCAGGTGCTCAACCGACTGTGCCAACCAGGCACCCCCAAAATTTACTTCTTTTTTTTTTTTTTAATTTTTTTCAACGTTTTTATTTATTTATGGGACAGAGAGAGACAGAGCATGAACGGGGGAGGGGCAGAGAGAGAGGGAGACACAGAACCGGAAACAGGCTCCAGGCTCTGAGCCATCAGCCCAGAGCCTGACGCGGGGCTCGAACTCACGGACCGCGAGATCGTGACCTGGCGGAAGTCGGACGCTCAACCGACTGCGCCACCCAGGCGCCCCTACTTCTTTTTTAAAAAGCAGACAAAGGGGGAAGAGAGAGAGAAGGAAAATCTGTCACAAAGAGGGAACGGTCACAGCAAAAGCATAACAAAGCAAAAGCATCAGATGAGCAAATAAGGATGAAAACCATTCAGGCTGCAAGTTCGGCAGACGGGGGCTGACACATGGGAGACACCCCCCCACCCCCACCCCACTGCAGCAGGAAAAGAGAACGTGACTCACCCCACGGAGTGCCCTCCAGACGCCCCGTTTCACCTCAGAGCACGGACTCCTGGAAAGCACCGGGCTTCAGCGGATCCCCAATCTGAGTGGAGCAGGCTGGGGGGTGGGGAGGGGGGCACCGAGAAGCACCTGTTGCTGCTGGGATGAAAAGCAGCAGAAAGACTTGGCAGAAGCTGGGTTGCTATAGCAACGGGAGTACCTGGGGGGGGGGAATGTGGGAGGGAAAGGGGGGGGGAAAAGGGGAAAAGACAGTTTTTCAAAGGTGAGCAAAACCTGCATTTCACACCCAGACGGCAGGACCTCACTGAAGAGGAGACAGAAGTGAGTTGCCACCTGGTGGTTTCGGGCGACACGCTGTTCTGGAACAACAGGGGGCTGCAGAGACGGAAAGCCCGCCCTGGAGCTGTGCTGCGGCCCTGCTGGGAGCCAGGCGGGCTCACCCGCGGGCACCCTCACCGCAGTCACCCGAGTGCGCCCACGGGGCAGCCGGTGGGGGGGGGGGGACCACGCGTGCACACACACTGCGAGTGTCCACGCCTCGGAAACACATCGTGACCTGAGCGAACCTGCGCGTCTGAAACGGCGTACTTCTCAGAGTTAGGCAAACGGAAGAGTCTTTCCAGAGCAGTTAACCGCTTCTTGTCCGGGGTCTTCGCACGGAACGCACCCTGGAAAGCAAATTGGCCCCGAGTCCAACAGCACTTCACTCGGGGAAATACAAGACCAGAAACCGGTTCGTGCGGCTGAGGACGCCTGGAAGGCGAAGAATTACCAACAAGCGAACATCATCCTAAATGAAAAAAGCCCTGGGCCGTGGTATTTATCAGCACCCTGGCACGGCGCTGAAGGCTGTCACCCCTGCCCCAGCGACCGACCGAGCAGCGGGCCTTGAGGCCGAGCGCACACAGCGGGGATGGAGGCCTCGACGGCACCTGCCCACCCCAGGGGGCCGCGTGCTGCTGCCGTGAGCTGAGCACCGGGATGGGCCCGCACAACTCGTCGCCCCAAATCTAGAACGGACACTTCACCAGAGAAAGATGTGTGGGTGGGACCTGGGAAGGCGAGGAGACACTGACCCGGCGGGTCCCGAGGACGTGCCCGAACCGACCTCACAGCGCGGCAGGGCAGCGGGACTGAGTGTGGGCAGGGACGCGGGGGAGCCGGGCCCTCGGACGCCGCTGCTCAGAATGTGCGACAGGGACGCCCACGCTGGGAAACGGTCCGGCACTTTGTTTCCCAGTTAAACACAAACCCACACCGACCACAGGACCCAACTGCCCCCCTCCCAGGGGCTCGCCTGGAAGACAGCAGGTGGCGTACAAAGACTCTCATGGCGAGAAACCCACAAAACGTGCATCTGTACGGCTATAAAAACTGTTTTAAGAAATGAGTAAATGGAGCCCAGCAGACACGGATAGAACAGTAGGCTGTCCTCAGAGGGGAGGGAGGCCCCAAATTTAAGAGACTGGCATGTCAGGAAACTCACTAACTGTATCGCCCATTTTAAAGCTAAAAACCACTAGATGACAAAGTGATAGTTTATAAAATCAGCAGCCAGTCCTACTAAAAATTCACAATAACACGTATGCCAACGAAACACTGTTTAAGCCAGCTGCCCAAGCTCAACAGTGAGTACGTTACTCTTGACACACAGACACTGGTTCCGCTAAACTGGGAGCGCGGCGACCGTGCGGGTCTCACCCTCTCATCCAACACTGGGCAGAGGCTTCCGCAGTGAGGAAAAGGAAAAAACTAAACAGCGGGGGACTGAAACTATCATTATTTGCACATGCTATGATTGTATGGTTACAAGACCTAAGAGATCAAAAATTATAAAAATAACAGAATTTGGAGGCGCCTGGCTGGCTCCGCGGGAGGAGTGTGTAGCTCCTGATCTTGGGGTCGTGCATTCGGGCCCCACATTTGGCGTAAAGATTACTTAAATAAATAAACTTAAAAAAAAAAAAAAAAAAAACGGGGCGCCTGGGTGGCTCAGTCGGTGAAGCGTCCAACTTTGGCTCAGGTCATGATCTCACAGTTTGTGGGTTCGAGCCCCGCGTCAGGCTCTGTGCTGACAGCTCAGAGCCTGGAGCCTGCTTCAGATTCTGTGTCTCCCTCTCTCTGTCTCTCTCTCTTTCTCTCAAAAATAAATAAACATTAAAAAAAGGAGGAGGAACGCCTAAGTGGCTCAGTTGGTTGAAGGTCTGACGCTTCATTTTGGCTCAGGTCATGATCCCAGATTCATGGGGTTGGGCTCTGCACTGAGTGCGGAGCCTGCTTGGGATTCTCTCTCTCTTTCTCTCTCCCTCTCTCTCTCTCTCTCTCTGTCTCTCCCTCTGTCCCTCCCTTGTTCTCTATCTCAAAATAAGCAAATAAATAAAAATAACAGAATTTGGTAAAGTGCTTGGGATCAAGAGAAACACAGAAACATCAATAGCTTTTTTTCTATGTCAGCAACAGACCATAGAAAGGGGACTGATAAAACATCCTGTTGAAAAGAAAAGGAAAGGAAAGAAAATGGAAAGGGAAGGAAAGAAAAGGAAAAGGAAAGGAAAAGAAAAAAGAAAAGGAAGGGAAGGGAAGAAAGGAAGGAAGGAAGGAGGAAGTGAGGGAGGGAGGG